CCCTGTCATTGTGCAGTGTGAACTAGGGTTGCCAACTGTCTTCTAGCACAAACCCAAAGATCCTTGCCCCTTGGGGGGAGGAGGGATAGCTCAGTGGTTTGAGTATTGGCCTGCTAAACCCAGGGTTGTGAGTTCAATCCTTGAGGGGGCCACTTAAGGATCTGGGGCAAAAACAGTACTTGGTCCTGCTAGTGAAGGCAGGGGGCTGGACTTGATGACCTTTCAAGGTCCCTTCCAGTTCTAGGAGATGGGATATCTCCATTAATTTTTTTCCCTGAGGCCCCGCCCCCTCCATCCTCCTATCTGTGGCTTGCTTGCTCTCATTTTCAGGCTGGGGCAGGCGGTTGGGGACCAGGTGCAGGAGGAGGTGTGGGCCCTGGGTTGGGATGTGTGGCGCAAGCTATGGAGGGAGTTTGGGTGCAGGGTGTGGGCTCTGGGCTGGGGGAGGGGGTGAGGGGTGCAGGCTCTGGAAGGGGAGTTTGGGTGCGGGAGGGGGTGTGGGCTCTGGGAGGGAGTTTGGGTGTGGGAGGGGGTGCGGGATGCAGGCTCTGGGAGGGAGTTTGGGTGCAGGCTGTGGGCTGGGGCAGGGGGTTGGGGTACAGGAGGGGTTGAGGGAGCAGCGCTTATCTCAGATGGCTCCCGAAAGTGACCAGCACATCCCTCTGGCAGTGGCTCCTAGGCGGAGGGGCCAGGGGGTCTCCCGGCCAATGGGAGCTGCAGAGTTGGTGCTTGGGTGAGGGCAGCACACAGAGACCCCCCTGCCCCTCCCCCCTCCCTTTCCCCCCAGGAGCCAGAGGGCCATGCTGGCCGCTTCCGCGAGCAGCGCAGTGCCAAGGCAGGTAAGGGAGCCTGCCTTAGCCCTGCTGCGCCACCGGACTGTTAGAGCTTAAAATCTCCCAGTTGGCTGCAGTAGCCTCCGGGAGATTCCAGAAGACACCAGGAGGGTTGGCAACTCTAGTGTGAACGCAGGTCAACCCAAGACCAGATCAGAAGATCTAGGTGGCACAGTGTGGACACGCTAGCACAACTGTGAGACTCAGGTCCAGCAATTGTAAACCCAGGTTTACAATACACTTAAGCCCGGGTTTGGAGACACTGACTCGACAGGCGCGGGACCCACAGAACCACGTTTAGAGTGCAGTGTAGACATACGCTATATGTGAAAGCATAGAGTCAAAGGAAGTAAAAATCTTCAATGAACCAAACTGTACCATAGAATCTCTAGGGATAGTAATTCCATGCTTGAATAATAAGAATACAGCAGTAGGAATATACTACAGACCAGTTGACCAGGATGGTGATAGTAACTGTGAAAAGCTCAGGGAGATTAGGCTATAAAAATAAAAAAACTCATTAATAATGAGGGATTTCAGCTATCCCCATATTGACTGGGTACGTGTCACCTCAGCATAGGATGCAGAGATAAAATGTCTTGACACCTTAAATCATAGAATCATAGAACTGAAAGAGACCTCGAGAGGTCATCTAGTCCAGTCCCCCGCACTCAAGGCAGGACTAAGTATTATCTAGACCATCCCTGACAGGTGTTTGTCCAACCTGCTCTTAAAAATCCCCAATGATGGAGATTCCACAACCTCCCTAGGCAATTTATTCCAGAGCTTAACCACCCTGACAGTTAGGAAGTTTTTCCTAATGTCCAACCTAAACCTCCCTTGCTGCAATTTAAGCCCATTGCTTCTTGTCATATCCTCAGAGGTTAAGAAGAATAATTTTTCTCCCTCCTCCTTGTAACAACCTTTTATGTACTTGAAAATTGTTATCATGTCCCCTCTCAGTCTTCTCTTCTCCAAACTAAACAAATCCAATTTGTTCAATCTTTCCTCATAGCTCATGTTTTCTAGACCTTTAATCATTTTTGTTGCTCTTCTCTGGACTTTCTCCAATTTGTCCACATCGTTCCTGAAATGTGGCGCCCAGAACTGGACACAATATTCCAGTTGAGGCCTTGTCAGCGTGGAGTAGAGCGGAATAATTACTTCTCGTGTCTTGCTTACAACACTCCTGC